AAACAAACATAGATTATACAAAACAGAGGGCTAAGATGCTGCATTCTATAAAAACCTACACAAGATTAAGGATCGCTGTCATGTTGTCACTGCTGTTCCCCGGGATCTCTTCAGTTTGTCTACAGGATTCAGTATGCAGTGACTAAAACTAAAGCAAAGTATTCCTGGTGACACAACATCAGATGTTCAACAACATCAGGGACACATTTTATCCCCACTAATATCAACACTCAGATAATTTTTTTTGAAAAAAAAAAAAAAAAAAAAAAAAAAAAGACAGTGTATTGTTGATTCACTTTGTGTTTGAGCCTACTGTCCCTAACATATTTTTTTTTTCCAATAAAACCAAGATTTATTTTATATATTTGCCTTTTGTTTCCTTCTTCTTGTATTTTACACTGAGTGCTATTTTAGTAATTTCATCATTTGTTTTATTTTCCAGAATCATTTTTAATTATGGTCATGTCCTGCAAAGAACATTCAAACTCTTGGTGTCACACTCAAATTTTACAAATCCTACAACTTCACCCAACTCATTAATGGAAATAGTGAATAGAAGTGACAGAGAACTGACCTCAGGGACCTCCCTTGCAATATCTCCTTGGTATGATAACTAAAATTGGGTAAGTCTTTTTTGAATGCAGCTTTTCTTTTTTAATTAGTTATGCATCAACTCCTCACGATAGTTTCATCTAGACCGTATTTCTCTTCATTTATTAAAAACAACATATGAGCCAGCAACAAAAATCTTACCAACATCAACATTGTTACACCTACGGTGCAGCCTTATTCACTTAGAACAGTTGCACTACCAGAAAGGAAATTCATTAGAGCATTCAACATCAGTGTTTTTTAAACAAAGGTTTTACCTAAAAAAAATGTCATCAAGCAGAGAAATTTTCTGTGACAAACTATCAATACTGTCAACACTTCCTGCGACACTTTAATTATTGTTTTTTTTTTTTTTTTTAAATTATCTTAAAAATCACTGCTGGTATTTTTGTTAAATACCATAAAACATAAATTAGGAGAACAAGGTCATTGATTTTTAGATAACTGTTAAAGATTAAAGTTAATCAATCATATTTCAGTTTAAAACATTAGGAAAAAAAGCCATGAAAACAGATGCAAATTACATCCAACAAAACGGGAACAAAAAGCCACTTTGACATACTCTGTGAAATTATTTCCTTGGTGTTTGGAGAGCACTGTGATTCCACAGCTTTACACTGAATTTGGTGAAGTGCATTTCCTCCCAGAGCAGATGCTTCAGCACGTTAGGGCAGAAGCAGCAAAAACCAGTTCCATTCAAATCTTTCCAGTCAAAGAAAGTTATAATGATAGAAGCAAACCACCAGCCAACCAACCTAAACAAAAACCCCGTGCTTCAAAAAGGCCGGTACAAAACAAGGCAGCTCTATCAATATTTGCACACATTTGTCCAGGAGTGAATAAGTTCTTTGAGCTGTACGAAGAAGTGAGTCACTGGGGATGGATGGCAGGGTGTCCGCCAGAGAGAGGCGTGGGCTTTGGTGCCCAGGCGCCTGGCATGCTGCCACCCATCCCATTTCTCCATTTCATAGCTGGAATGCTAGAGCGGAGGCAGGAGGCCAGCAGGGAGTGGTGAGAGGTTCTGAGGGAGGGTGGGAGGGTGGGAGCAGCATCATTAAGTCCCGGGTCCTCAGTGTGCCTGATCCGTGCTTCTGCACCAAGCAGCAAAGTGACAGCGTGCTGCTCGCGTGCTCCTCTGCTGGCTGTGCACAGGTTCAAATGGCAAGTGTATGGGCTTGGCATGGCACAAGCAAACCCCTTGCTTCTTTCTGACTGAACTCGTGAAATCCAATCTGACCTTGCAAAATATTCTCATGCAAGAAACTTCCAGGCACAAGGGAACTCTGCAAGAGAGGCTAACTACTGCCCAGCTGAAGTTTCAGGTACAGATACGCATGTCTTCAAATTTGGAAGCTGTGTCTTCCACTGTAGAGTCCCCAAAAAAGCTCTAAGCTTGCCTGATTCCAGGTCCACAATAAGATGGCAGTTTTCCAGAAAAAAGGATACCAAGAGTTCAAACAAATTAGGAACAGGTTTCTTCAATGATACAGAGATAAGTTTCCAATACATATTACCACACATTCAAAAAAGGAAAACAATAATAATTAAAAAAAAGTGATACCCCAACACATTCATGGATGTTACAGTGCTACTCCTAGCGTGGGAACCTGGCAAAGTTTGGATGACTCAGTGAAGCAACCTCAGCCTACAAAGACTGAATCTTGGCTTTGTCTGAGCCATGTGTCAACCTCAGTGTGCTACAGCACTCGATCTTTCCTCTCCATGTAAAACTTATTCCTAGAATAAGCAACTGGAGCTAAATGTTAGGCTAATCTTTTGGTGGCGGAATAAGTCTATGTGCACTTGTTGCTTAGGCAGAAAGGAATTTCAGTTTTATGAAATTCTCCTCCAATCCTCTCAGTTTTTCATAGCCAAGGAGGAACCTTCATTGGTGGTGATATGACTATCAGTTACTGGCCCTATATTGGCTCATGTCTGTTTTACTGGCATGAAAAAATGAATGCTAAGTATTATCCAGAAAAAGAAGTAGTAAAAGCCAAAGCTTTTCTGGTGAGCCAAGGTGAATCAGGCTTTTACTACACGATAATCTGAATTAATCTGAGGGTGTTGAGAGGTGGATCTCAGTAACGGGGAGAACAGGAGGCAGGCAGTGGTACTTTCAGATAATGTTCACATGGGTTTCTGCCCCTCAGTAATTTGTTCAACAATCAGAACCTAGGCATTAACAGATTTCTTCTTCCCACCTTGTGAATTCAGGCTATTCACAGACTGAATTTCAGGCAGCCAAGTCTATACCTCTTGGCATATGAACCTGATGTCAAAAAACTGCCTTCGGGGATTCTCAGCAAATGCTGGTTGCTCAAGTTTCCAAATGTGACCTGAAACCCTAAGCTATTTTGTTGCCAAAGAGTATAAGGAGCTAAATTCCAGCAATGCTGAATTCCAAGAACTGTCATCGAAGGCTTTTTCTATCTTTAAAAAAAAAACACAAAAAACACAAAAAACAACAACCTCGCCTGATAGAATGGAAAGAAAAAGCAGCTGCAGCCACCATTTCACTCAAGCATGTGGCAAGGAGCCTGTCAGAGCTTCCAGCCTCCTCACCTGTGCTGGTTTAAGGACTCAGCTCACACCTGGAAAGCAGTGAGCCTGAGCCCATGCCAGCTCAGAGCAGCCCCACCTCAGAGCTGTTCGAGCATTCCACCTGCATTAACAGAAAAGATGCTTTTAGACACCCTCAGAAGCAACCCGGGTCCAGTCAGGACCAGCCATGCTGCTGTTTAGCAGAAGGGATGGGGAGGGAGTCTGGCCGGTGTCCTGGGCCACAATGCAGAGTGCGCTGAGTGCCCCTTCTGCCCTTTTCATGATGTCATCTTCTCTTTATGACATTATACCAAACTACAATGGGGATTAACCACCCCCTGTAAGCTTATTATAGGCTTATGTGGGCTGTTAGAGCTTGGCTTTAGATGGCATTTCTTTTAATGAGTCTGGGGCTGATGTCACTCCTATAGCCAAGACTGTACACTTCCGTTAAGCACTAAAACTAACACAGAACATAAAATTAACTTGCTTCACAAAGTGTCCTTGCAAAGGTGTCAAAAATCCCCATGACATACACAGAAAAAAAAATGTTTGATGACGCAATGGCAAAAGAAACCACTTTTGTAGTGGAACTAAAGGAACATTTCCAGTCTGTGATAAACAACCACTGCCAAATGAGTAACACGTGGGGATGAGCACTAATTGCATTTACCATGTTCCTCTCACCTGCAGATGTGGATAGACTCAGAAAGGCTTAATTTGTGCACTTTAAAACAAGAAGTGAAAGCACAGAAGCAAAACCACCTATTCTTCTTAAGAAAATTTGGGAAGGCAGGAAGAAAGATTTTCTTCTATTGATACAGTCGTACAGTGCATGGAGAACCTACTTTAATCATCTCCCTCAGAACAAAACAATGAGACATAAAAAAATGATTTGTGAGAAATTTGTACCAATTCATTCCGCAGCTCATAGAATTTCTTTGGAATCTCTTCACTATTATTAAGTAAAATCGAATGTTTTTAGCACGGGCAAAAAAACAAAGATAAGGAGCAATCAAATGAAAATTAAACCATTGCTGAGTGTCTCAGCTCCAGTTCAGAATTTCATGGGGCCTGCACTGACTCAGCGTACAAAAAAGGGGCTCCTTCGCTGAGCATGCCCACAGAACATCATTAACTGCCCTTCTGACTCCCAGCAGAGTAGGATCTAAGCCAATATATTCTGCAAGGATTTCCTTTTCAGCTCATACGCTGCTCTGCCTCTGCCACAGACACTGCCTGATGTTAGCAAATGTGGCTCTGGGAAAGATTTCTAGATTCAGAGAAATAAGGGCAATGTTGGGCTGATGCTTTTTTCTTTTTTTTTTCTTTTTCCTTTCCAGTTATACCTGCATTTTATGTGACTTCAGGGTTTTCAAACAGCTATATCATAACAGTCTGTCGCAAGTGTATTGAGTGTTTCAGTTTGCCAGACCTGTCATAATAAATTAATTACAGGATGTTGCAGAAGTGGCTGAGTTCCAGCAGCATCTTGCACAGTTTAATATAGCCCTATTTCCCCATTTCGATGTATTTGTGGTTAGATAAATCCTCAGAAAATTTACAGCTGCTACACACTAGTTTATTATGCTCCCTGCCTGTGCAGGCGATATAAGTGCAAAAAGAATGTGATGTCTTCTCAGTGCATAGATTTTACTGATATTGCTTTACCGGTGTGGAAACATTTTTCTTCTAAATGTGGCATCTGCAGTTTCTTCCGAATATTTGCATTTGAGCATTATACAGGACTCATCAGCTTGTTTGCCACAACCAAACTGTGCAAATTAATTTGGCCTGAAAAAATCCTCACCAAAAAAAAAAAAACAAACCAAAAAAAAACCAACACAAAACAGGTAGCTGAAATTGTAGGTGGGAACTCCGTAGCAGAGCTATCATTTTCATTTATGAGAGCCAGCTAAAATTATTTTTGCAATCTTTTAAGTCAGCGTACATTGTTGTACAAACTACAGCCATGATGTGGCTCCTAGAAGCCTGGCCAGCTCTGCTGGAGCTTTGAGTACAGTGGTGCATTGACTCGGAGCAGCTTACAGGACTGGGACTCTCAATACACGTGTAACCACTGGAGAACAGAGCGCCCTGAAGGGAAAGGCAGCAGCCAGCCAGAATGTAACAGGCACAGCATTTGCCAGTAACACTGTGTGTGAGGCACATTTCTGTATAACAGTTCATTTGTATGACACATGATGCTCCAACTAGTAGATAAATGTCGTGTGTGATGTTCTCATCTCTGCTCTGCTTTACAGTGGACAAAGAGGCCAGAGGACAATAAACCGAAGTAGAGGCACACATGGCAGCAGACAACAGCTAGAAAAGTGCCCTCTAAAGATCTGTGCCAGCAGCAGAATTAGGGAACTAAAGTGCCAGCCACCCCCAACAGCATAGGCCAGATGTGTGGAGCTTTCTGGATTCCAGCTCAAAGTTATGGCTGAGTCATGGATTTCTGAGAAGCCACAGGAGAACATTCATCACAGGCTCCAAGATTTCATCCAAGCTCCTGTAAATAGCACAACATTTAAATGTATCAAAAGATGAAGTGGTTAAATATCTTAATTTCTGAAGTCCAAAAAGCACCCAAGCTCTGCTCTAACACGCCTGCCCTCTATCTTCTGTTCCTTCTTCTTAAGTTCCAATTTCTAATTGCCACATTCTTGCAAGTCTCACCCAGACAGTAGTCTTCTTCTTAAGCTGCTTATTTCCCTCTCTCAGACCTCTGCTTGTTTCTATTCCTTACATGCAACAGTTCTTCTCCTAATGCACGTATTTATACTTCAAGCAATGTAAGTCCTTGAACTGATGCAATATGTTTTTACAAGTGCAGGTGTACATCCACATATTAGTTTGTCCAAAACATTCTATGTAGCCATAGGATAGAACACTTAGGAAAGAAACCTCAGCACAAGCCTGTACACGAATCTTTTCAGCCATCCTTTACTGTTCAAAAACACTCCTATCCCCTCCCAAATTCACATCCATTAAATAGGCTGTACTGCACACATACTAATTTCATATGTGCTAGAAAAGGATCATTAGACCCCCCCCATCACTCTTTGTGTTTACCAAACAAGTGTTTTTGCTTTAGTCTGTTCCCGCCTTAAATGAAGTATTTCCTATTCACCTTAGTAATTAGAGCAGAAGGATGTAGTGAATGAAGTGCCTCATTATCAAGTTTGCATCCACAGACTCTGCAGAACGGCGACCATGCCGGCTATTTTTCATAGCTGTCTGCTTTTGCTTGTAGTGGGCCATTGTTAACCCTAAGTGATCCTGACATTCAATTCTCCATCAGACAATTGGGTCCAGCCGGCAGATTTAGTTCACTAGTCAACAGAGACTTTCGGTTGTCATGTTCCTCTGTGTTCTCATTAGCCCTTGTTTGACTGTGATCCATCCCCTACTGCCTTCTGAATTAAGTGATGCTACAAATACACTTATTGTGTTCTACGCTGTCTGTTCCTCAAACTATTTTAAGGAAAAAACTAAATGCAATCTGAAGGCTATTGGGAAACACAGGAAAAAAGTGCCATCCCTTCGTTCCTATTTTGTTAATTTATGTGTTCATTGTTCACAATATCTCTGCCAAATTATAAAAATGTAATAGCAGCTCTATGTTGCAACCACACACACACATAAAATCAAAAAACACCAGAACAATGAAAGACCTACTGTGCTGTTATCGCCAGGCAGTTATAAATATCCACTATTTACCCTTTTTTAAACAAGGTTTTATCTGTGTTGTGCTAGCAATGAACCAGTATCACCCTGTAAAAACTCCTCCAACAGATGTTTTTAATTCTGGTATTTCATATCAGGGCTTAGTGAGCAACTTTGCAGGGCACTCATGTATTAGAGTACTGACTACAGTTCTTCAACTTACACAAACAAGGAAAAATTTCAATAGGTATTCTGAACTTGCCGTGAATTCTTTTAAGTACTTGGACAACTGTCAGCAAATGCACACAATGTTCATGTTGAAGTGACATAAAAAAATACGTAGGTTGCATTAACATTGAAATAACATGCATTATAGAAAGTTTAATTTCAAACCATTTAAAAAACACTATCCTCTTCCAAACTGTTCAAAAGTATTACTCTCTTGCAACTTTAGAATACCAATGACAATATCTGAAGAATGAAGAAACTCCTAAAATTGAAAACAAAAAGTAAAAACTGTCTTTTCTATAATGCCCTGTCAATAATTTGTTGAGAAGCGATCTGTCTGCAAGTTCTAACCTAAATACTGAAGGAACACTTGGAGCTGATTTTTAATTTTTAATTGCAGATCCTTACTTTTTTTCATTTTCTATCAAACGAATGCAAAAAGCTCTAAAACAGCAGTAATCTGGTATAAAGCAATAGAAGAGTCCAGCCAAGCACGTGGTAGGGAGGAAAAAATTACAGAAACAAAAGATATTGCAATTACAAGAAAACATTATGAAAAGTTTATTTCCAACTCCACACATTTTCATGCTTGGCTCTTATCTGATTTCTTCTGCTTAATTGTTATTTGGAACCATGCCTTGGAAGACACTGCTGCTGCCTCTCCTCTCAATTTGGAAAGTGTGGCAAAGCAGCTCTATTCAGCTTCAGAGCAGTGAACATAATTGGAGCCCTAGTTCGCAAGCATGAAAGGAGGTGCTGTGCCTTTGATTAGAACTACCATCTCTCCGTGGTGTTTATCTGAAGTGTTATTTCTGTCTTCAGCATCCACAATGCCAAATTAATGTTTTACAATGCCTTCCAATGAGCTCCCAGATCTTGGCTACTGCTCAGCTCATCCTGACGCGGAGCCTGATGTCACATGCTCTACCCTTATTTTAAGTGTGACCCAGGATATTTTAGAGCAACCTAAGATGTTGAGATTTTTCTCTATTATAAAGTCTTTAAATCCCTTTAAATTCAAATATATTGCAAAAAAAGCAGCAATGTAAGAAGCTAGGAACCTTGCCAAAAGCAGCAGTCCCAGGACTAAGATAATTTTATACAACTGACCACTGGAAAAGAGACATTCCTAATGTTCCAGTACACATACATGCCCCATTTAGAGGAGAACTTCCTACACACATGCACTTAGACATGTAGCTAGGATTGTAAGCAAATTACTGTTACCAATGGGACTAAAAAGAAAATTTTCTGCTCCTCTTCACTGAAAAGAAACAAGTTCACAGATTTTTCTGGCTATAAAATATGTGCAGGGAAGATATTAAAATATATAGAAACTAGTGCTCTGCATCTGGGGGCATTTCACACATCACTGCCCAACATTGTTTTTTCTCACTTCTTTTTTTAATGGAATCAAGTGCCTCGTCTACTAAATAAGGGCTTTCTAATTTTATGTTATTTATTGCTTCAGAGAGGGAGGAGGAAGAATTTCCTAGCAGAGCAAAAATAAAATGGACATCATCAGCCAGAAAAAAATATCAACACTAACTGATAGAAAGTGTTTCATTTAATATAAAACATAAATTATTTAGAATTGCAGATAATTAGTGAAATTATTAGTGAAAGTGTACAACATAATACTCAAGAAAAAAAACCTCAAAAAACAATTAATGACATACAACTGAAAAAGTAAAGCAAACAACACAATTTAAAATAAAATATTTCATTCAGACAGAAGAATGTATATTTGGCAAGACTTCTGCCAAAGCAGCCAGGAACTCTGACAAAACTGCAATGCACCTTTACTATGTGCACAAAACCTCATTTGAAAATATAAGTGCCTGGAATTTGCAACACTTATTTGTATTGGTAAGCATGGGTAGTCCCATGAAGTCAGAGCAGTTGCATAGATACTAAACCATTCGCTTAAGTGCTGCAAAATGTGGTCCCAGTGAATATTTCCCATCAGGAGAACACAATTCTTAAAAGCTTGTTTTTTCAGGTACAATGTTACATCAGCATTCCTTTGAAATTTCACCATTCTGAACCCTGCTCAATTTTACAACAAAACCATAAAATGCTTATCCAAGGACTTCAGTTGTGGTAAGGCTTGTTCTGTTCTAGATCACACTTACGACTCTATTCTCTGCTTGCAGTAGACTGATCTGCAGTCCACAGAAATGTCTGGTCAGCCTGACTTAGAATACAATCACATGGTTAACACTACATTTGTCAGTGGAGTTCTCATGAAATATGAAAGTGCATTTCAGATTTTACCAGTACAGTGAGGTGCTGAGCATTCAAGTTCTGTTAATTTCAAGGAACCCTGAGCAAAATTGTTCTGAACAGGCTTACACCACTGGGAACTCACAACCAGCACCATTTTGTGCATTTGATTAATTTCTTTGTTGTTGTTGATTTCTTGTCAATCCTAGAAGTGAAGCTGCAGTTGCAGCATTCAAATGTAAGAGTATACTGCATGTCACACCAGTATCTGGAATTAAATGATGACTACACATCATAGCATTCAGGCTCAAAAGCAGTATTTGTCTTTCCACTTGTGATTAAGTTTGAGCCTCTCACCGCCCTTTTCTTCCTCTTCAATTCCACCCCATGGGCTGTAGGTTCATTTTCAACACCATTAGCTGATGATACAGGAGAATCGAGACCCATTAAGTAGGGCTGATTTTCTATCTCGTTCTTCTGTATCCTTTTCTTCTTTTTCTTTACGCTTCTAGAGAAAAGTGGATATAAAAAGAGTAAAAGAAACAAAGTTAGCTCAAATTTAGAGCTTTTTCCACACACAGCTGATGTGTTAGAGCAATTGTCTGCCTGTTCCCCTTGAGTACAATGCTGAAACAGCTACAAAAACTACTCTTCCACTGCAGAACAAAGACAGAAAAAAACACGAGGACAAAATATGTGACCACTTTACTACGATGCTTTTCACCATGTCACAGCACTGCCTTGAAAAGAACTGATCCTGATCTTAAAAATCAGCAAGTCTTGATAGACAGTCAACAGATGTAACAAAAAATACCAATTACAATCTCCATTATCACAGAAGTCATTGCAAGAGTCTTTTTATTATTTTCTTTTTCTAAGTTTATGCATCAAAATTATTACAATGAAAGATAATTCATGGTTTACTACTGAACATTTTAAGGGAGACAGTCAGGTAAAGTGCAAAAGATTAGTTTTCCTATTTTAACTTTCCTGAACTATGATACATTCATAAGATTAGTCAGTTAAATGTCTATTCCTACTTGTTAGACTTCAGAAAATGACAAAGGTATCAGTCAAATTCATTTATTTTTCCCAGTTAGCTGCCTGAACAAGGGAATAAGACTGGTCTTGCAGATGATGCCAGGCAGAAGTTGTAACTTTAACTGTATAATAGTTTAACTGTAATCTACAAGGGGCAGCTACTGTCTTCATCCAAAATCTGTACAGCACATTGCACAAACTAACACTGGTTTGTGTTCGGTTGGATGCTGTTGAAGCATGTAATTAAGCAGAAGAATCAAGACTACAGAATGCAACGGATGTTTCTAATTTCCCCAAAAACTCTGCTGCAAGGCCATTATACTTGGTGATATTGTACTAATGTAATACTTTTTATATTTCAAAACATTCATGTATTGGCCTTGCTAATGGAATTATTATTATCTACCTATAAGGTTGATACATATTTTTAAAACTAAACTGTTCACAAACACATAAATTGCTGCAGCTCTAATATTAAAGTATCCCAAGGGAAAAGATTCAGGATGTTATGACCCTCTGCATTAGGATTCCTAGGACAAATTGAGAAGTATTGCTGCCTGAGAAAATCAGGATTCAAAATCATAATTAATCGTTAAACAAAACTTTCTACCAAATTGTGTGTTCAGCTGGATCTGATGTATAATCGTTGTAAGATTATGGAGAGAGCACTACTTTGTGTAGCACAAGAGAACTGTAAAATGAGAATATATATAATGAGATAAAAGTCTGCACAGAGAAATGGCATATTTAAATGATGAAGCTATCCTGCAGATTTTCAGCATAAAACTAATCTAATTCTGAGAAGTAGTTTTCATCTTTTTACTATTTGAACAATCGCATCAGATGTGATAATGTAACAAATGCTTGAGATACTCCAATAAAAACCCTATTTCACTTGGTATCTATTATATGGAGCTTTCTGCTTCCTCTAGAGACTGCAGAAGACAGGTTAACTGCTTGGCTAAGATAAAAAAAACACCTGTAACCTTGGAGAAAGTTTGTTTTCATATTGCAAAACTATCTTCCATTTGGAAATTCTGAAAGGTATGTTACCATTCAGTTCATTCTACAGCAGGTATTGTGGCCATACCATTTTAACAGGAAAAATGGCAAACCTCACCTGAAGGTTCAAATAAAGGTCTAGTGAGTTGTGGAGGTGCTAAATTTCATTTCTCCATAGAGAAATTATGTACCTAGTTATCACATCTCAACTGATTCTAGGGGTCCATCCTGAGACTGGTGCTCTTCAACATTTTATCAATGACCTAGACAGAGGGATTGAGTACAGGCTCAGCAAGTTTGCACACAGCATCAAGCTGAGTGGTAAAGTTGACAAAAAAGAAGGAAGGGACGGTCCCCAAAGGGACTTGGACAAGCTTGAGAAGCAGACTCACATGAACCTAATGAGGTACAAGGCCAAGCGCAAGATGATGCACTTGGATTGAGGAAATTCTGGGTGTATATGCAGATTGAGAGAAGAGCTCATTGAGAGCAGATCTACTAACAAGGACTTTGGGGTTCTGGTGGATGGAAAACTGGACATGAGCCAGCAGTGTGCACTTTCAGCCTGGAAGGCAAACTGTAAACTGGGTTGCATCAAAAAATGAGTGGCCAGCAGGACAAGGGAGAGGTGACTGTCCTCCTCTATTCTGCCCCTGTGAGGCCCCACATGTAGTACCATGTTCAGGCCAGGAGCCCCCAGCATGAGATGTAGAGCTGTTGGAGATGGACCAGAGGAGGGCCACAAAGATGATAAAAAGGCTGCAGGACCTCTCCTATGAGCTGGAGTTGCTCACTACAGAAAAGAGAAGGCTGCGGGGAGACATTCCAGTACTTACAGGGTGCTCATAAACAGGACGGAGACTCACTTGTACACAGTCTGATAGGGATAGGAGAAGGGGGAATGGTTTTAAACTAAAAGAGGAAAGATTTAAGTTAGATGCTAGAAGGAAATTCTTAACTCAGAGGGTGTTAAGGCACCAGAACCAGGGGGCTGAGTGAAGTTCCCTGGAAGTATTCAACACCATGCTGGATGGAGCCCAGGGCAGCCTGATTTAGTGGCCATAAAAGCCACTCTATGATTCTATCATTTAGCTACTACTTAATTCCTATTATATAATCACATGTGACAGTGATATTAAGTATATTACTCAGAAAATATGAAGAGAATGGAAACTTTTATATGGATAATATTTAAGTAGAGATTAGACTGGATCTCAAGTCATGTTGAAATAGCTTTTAGATGCTACAGTAACAAACTTTACCAGTTAACATTTCCATTTACCATCTTAACATCATTTCCTTTACCATCTTAACATTTGCATATATGTCATTTTCTAGGGTACCTCAGATCACAACTAATGCGGTGTACAGGAAAAACTACAGCTCTGTTCTAATCCCTCTTCATCATGGTTTTAGGTACAAAGAAGTGAGACATTTAATGAAAAATATGCAACCATGTTTCAGAGATGTTTTGATATCTAGTGTGTACAGTATAAATAATGTATAAGCAGAAACATGAAACAGTTTTTCAAAGTGACTTAAGGTGCAAGAAGATCCTTGTCTCTTTCAGGTCTTAAAATAAGGCAAGAACTTACAGTTACTTCTGAAAGAAAAACTTGGTATGTTACATTCTAGTTCATGGAAAAACTTGCAAAGTATGTACTTTCAAAGCAGCAATAACATAATGAAGTCTAGAATCTCTGGTCACAGGGAAGGAAAATACAACACTGTGTTACTTACTGCACTGTAGTTCTTCCTTTTCATGTTAACTTTCCCCTGATAAAGGATAACATCAAATACTATCTCATGGCATTTGTCACTGCCTCACTAACAATCAAGTATAAATGGCTTAGTACCCTGAGAACTTGCAAATAAGGCTTGCAATACTGCAAAATCAGACAGCAGTGACATGAAACATGACTTCATCTCCATGATTGCTTCAGTGCCTAAAAGTTCAGAAGAGTGTACATTCCTGTGACACAGGCATGCATGTGTCTTGTCTCAGTGTTCTGAAATGCAACTGAAGAGTTTGGTGGTTCTATGTCTCCAAGATGACATTGCTGTGTGATCTATTCTCACGGTTGACTTAGTTTTCATAAAAATTAATACTTAACATTTGACATGACTCAAAATTCATGAATTTTATTAAATCATTGTGATTTCACATTTTAAATCTGTGTTGCCCCAGTCTTCAATAGTTGCTTGAGAAAAGGCACTCAAAAGAATTGTTTGCTCTAGTTCCATTAATGCAGTTCAGTTTTATCAAATTTCTGATACCAATTTCTGACTGTGTCAACTGTCACAGTAACTGCACATTTAAGGCATTTCCTTCCTTAAGTCCTATGAGAATAGTTATGGTCAAAATTCAACTCTGAATTCTATAATTTCACAATGCATTCCTCATCAAAGATGGGTATTAAACTTTCTGCTCACAATTTATTTTCAAATCTAGCTACCGGTGGAGACGTAAAAAAAAATTTAGGAATTAAAAGTTAAAATCAGACTGTATATGCAAGTATTCTTTGTTGTGAACAAAATGGTGAGTGAACCAATCTGGAAAATAGTCAGTGAAGTAACTTTGCTTAGATGCAGATATCTGCAATGACAAACCCAACAAGTACAAGTACATTTAGGTGTATTTTTCCAAGTATAAATGCTTGCAATAGCTAAAAACATTGTGGAAGCTCTTATTCAACACGTTGACATCTTACCTTCTTACAGCTTTCACACAAGAAATGCACAAAATTTTTAGGAAATGCAAGCAACATAATCTAAGTATTAGACTATGTCTTCTCAGAATGTGACCCTTTCCATTTTGTATTAATTTTCAGAAAGTGCAAAAAGAATCTTCCGTTTGTATAAATAAAGCCTAACACACAGGTAAGGAATGCCACAGGACAAGGCTCTATCCTTTAGTTACGATTACCATATACATAACAGTATATAGTTTTCTGCATATATATATATATAAACTGTTATTTCCTTCACATTTTAGGCGTGAAGCACTCTTTTTGAACGAGTACCCTAGAGCCATTCTCTTGTTTTGCTAGCTAAGACAAAATAACCCTGCAGACATTTGTCACTGTTTCCTAGCAGATGTAACACTACAAATTATTTAAAATATTTCTTGCTTACTGTGTTGCAGGTGAGTCTCTATCTGTGTCACGCTCTGAGATGCACTTCAGGTCCCCTGACTTACTGATGACTGGTGACATCTGTAAAATTTAAAAAAAAAAAAAAAAAAAAAAAAAAAAAGCAGGAAGGTAAAAAGAAGAAAGACAACAGGGACAACACATGTGCATTGAAAACCCACCAGCTTCCTGAATAAGGAGAGAATATACCTCATTTGAAAAAGAATGTCTATCAGCCATAAAATGTTAACTCCTATGTGGTTACAAACAAGGAAACAGTAGCCTGCTTAAAAAAAAGTGAAAGCGACTTGCAAATAAAAGACAGTTTACAAGTATGTAAAAACCCAAAATTTAGAATCTGCTTTTAAGTTTACAATATATACAAGTCCATAAAGAATTACAGTTATTTCTGCTAGTGCATGGATAAAGATAGAATGCTATAAAGCCATCTCATTGTATGTTTTTAACAACACACCCGCCTTTTTAAAAACAAAACAAACCTTTAGGTAACTTCAGTTTACTAGAAAAGTTTAAGTAAACACTCCCATTACTAATGTAAGGTAGTTAGTGGCTCTCTATGCTACTCACTTACTGCAAGAATTCTCAAAAGGACATGGTGACTGCTCTTCCTGAGTTTAACATTTTCACAGAAAGATCATTTTCTCTGCCACCTTCCACACAAACTGTTCACAAATAGCTGGTAATTACCCATGTACTTTCACTTTCATGGAGGATACAACCCAATCCAACTGAGAGGCCTGATGTTCTCACTCAAAATTTGTTCTCTTGGAATATCGCCTGCACTATGCATCCAGCCATGACCTCCAGGCACACTGTAGGCTTAGATCTAATATCACAAATTCATTGATGAAAGACTGCTGTGGATGTGGACCTGTACTTTAGGCTGACGGGATTGTCATGTTCTGTAAGCATCCGTTTGGTACAGCATACATATGAGAAAACCAGGAGTAACAACCAGGCAGGCCCTGAGAGAGTAGTTCCTATGAAGATCTTGGAAACTGGACAGGAAGTTTATTTCAGAATAGTACAGAGCCCAAGGCATAGAAGAGAGGGTGAGATTAGATCTGGTACTTTCCAAAAAGCAGGATCTTTCACAGAGTAGAGCGAATGGTCTTGAAACTAACTTGGCCCACGCTTACAATTTTTTAGCTCAGCTTCAGATTCATAGCCTGTCTAAAGCAAAACCTAGTACATTGTTTCTGAATTTCTCAAATAGCTATGGTGTTAAAAAAAAATCTGCCCACTCAGTTCTGCTAAGCACAGAAGTACTCATCTGCTTGTAAATAAGATCCTTAATATTCTGGTATCAGCCTGAATGGCTCCAGGAAAGAGTCAGTTAGTGACACGACCATCTCTGAAAGTGCAGCTAAAAACGAGCGAGCATCTTTCAACAGTTCTAAAGTGCCAGACAACAATACAACATCTAAACAAGCAACCATGAAATCAACAAGAATTTTCTGGAAGGAACAAAGAGGGGGGAAAAAAGAAAAAAGATAGCTCTTGACCGTCTAGTCTACCAACTACTTATTTCATTTTGTGTGACCTCATATGCAAGGTATACCACAGTAACTCCAGATCGAATGGAAACAGAAAACAATACATTGCTACACAGCAATTTTTTTTTTTAAATAAGTGTATTAAAGTAAGCGATTTTTACAAAATCAGCATGTTTTAAAAAATCAATATGTTAAAACAGAATGAAAATACTGTCTTCAAACACAAAACTTATCCATCACAGATTTCAAAGCTCTAAAGAATAAAACTTAGCATTTCCCTGTCAAGTGCTATTGTCCAGGTTTTATTCTAATTAAGTGAATCTGGATTAGAATTACCTTCACATGCAAATACTGTACTAGAACCAGAATTTGCATTTTCCAAACCTCAGTTTCAGGCCATGAAGAGTTCAATTACTTTCTTAAAATTTAATTAATTGAAAAAAAAAAAACAAAAACAAAAACAAAACAACTATTTGATGCAAGTAATCGAATGATATTTGAACTTTTTTTTCTTCATCCAGATCTCTGATATTACTACCAATGACTTAAAAGAAACAGGACCAAGACCCCACTGAGTTACTGAATTCATATATGCATGCTGCCCACAACAACCAAGTTCAAACATTAGTCACTATAAATAGTCTGCTGAAACAACACAATTTTCTGGGTTAGTTTACATAAAAATCAGCATAATGTAGCACTGGGCTGAGAAAAAACCTATTTCACACACAAAATCCTTGTTAATACAGCCATAAACTTCAGACTACGTCAATGATAAAAGTAAACTCAAAAGGAAGAAATGCCTCTGATATGAACATACAAGGGACTGCTGAAAAGGAAATGACTCTTAAATAACAAATCCTTCCTACAGCATTGGTAACTTTGAGCTCCTTGCCAAATACAATCACACATTCCCTTTGCCTGCTGTCAGAGCTAAATCTTTCCCTGAAAATCCTGTGTGAACAATGTTCAACATTTTTTTTTTTTTTTTTTACTATCCTTTGAGCGAATATAACTGAACTTCTATATTTTACTAATAATATAATTATGTATGGATTTTTCCAAAGCCCATTCCAGTAGCATTTCCTTAAATGTCACTACAGAAGACTGAAATATCTTACATTTTAAAATACTTTTCAGTACCAAAACACAGAAAATTATCCTTGGTTTACAGTTATGAGATTAAAGTATCCACTAAATTAAACAGCCTAACTGAAAGTTCCTATGATCTGTTTAAAAACTACTCGTTACATAGGTAGGCTTTTATATATTCAAGCACAGCATTTCAGCATGGGTACCAAGGAAAGAAAAGCATGCAATTGGACTACCTTGGAATAGCTGTGTTCAGCTGGCACAGTAATTAATGAGAATTCCTAGGGTATGTAGGGACAGACTCCCAGTTCTCCAGAGTACTGTCTGAATACGATAGCTTTCTTTCTTACCTCATTCCTACAAACTTTCAAGCATGTAATGAGGCAGGAACCGCAGTGAAACAAGATCTTTTTGAAGCACATCTCACTGCCACTATCATCTCTTCTTTCCTATCTCCCTTAGCCCAGTCCTTGACCTATTTTTCCTGTCTCAGTGATGTATGCAAGCAGCAGCAATACTGAAGGAACAAGAGAGATGGGGGCAGCTGCGAGAAGATGGTGCTACAAGAGGATGAAAACCGTGCAGTGAATGAGGCAAGGGAGTATTGAGGGACATGCAAGCATGTAGCTAAGGACGTTGTGATAATACTTAGATGCTGACAGTGTGCCAGGGGCGCTGTGAACAGCAACAGAAGTCTACAGCACAGAGGGGCTGATGAAACTGCTTATCTGCTCTTTCTAAACCTCTTGACCTCTTGTAATGTATGGGCAGATTTCACAGGAAACTCTGAACAACTCTCCACTATAGTCAGTGTACTGACAACACTGTACTATTAAGTACAGTTACAGATAAGGTGTTAGCTATTAAAACCATCCACATTGCAGAATTACTAGGGTTGGGTTTGCTCAAAAGAAAATGTGTCAAATAATTAATGTGAATATCTTGAATTTCTCTGTTCAAAAGAACAAATACTGGACACAATACTATAAATTTTGTAGAATACCACCACTGGTGCTCCATTTTGTTGCTATATTCTATTTCTCCACTGTTTGAAATATGCAATGCGCCAGAAAGGCAGGAGAATATCAGTTCATTCTGAAAGTCCTTTTACTATGCTTACTATCATAAAGACATATTGCAATAAAGTATTCACTTTCCTTTTCTAGAAGATGTGCATACTTTGTACTTCATTTGGGCTCAATTCTTAAAAAAAAAAAAAAAAAAAAAAAAAAGAACAAAAAAACCCACAACTAAATACACAATCACTTATTAATTACGCAAGTCCTTCTCCCTGCTGCAGAATCCACAGCAGAAAGTCAGGCATTAAGTACTCCCTGTGCTACTCATAGAACAAATCAGTTGCATCAGAACACACTTCATAGGAAAACATGAAGCAGAAGGCTTCTAAAGGAAATACCTAGGACAACGTCTCATAAGACTAGGCCCTTGTCAGTGCTTTCCTCTAAGCTAAGGAGAGTTGTCCCTATAACCAATGGTCTGGAGAGGTGTCTGACAGACTAAGAGGCAGATGGACAGAATGGAATGGTGCAGGCAATGTGAAATTATTTCCTTCTCTATTTAGGTGACTGAAGTGATGGAAGTAAACGTGCTTGCTCTATAGCCTCCTCTGTACAAGCTAACACTCCCAGAGAAGCTATTTCTACAGAACCTAATCTAATAAAAGATTTATTGGATCACAAAGTGCAAAAACAAACATGTCTTTGTCTTTTGACACTAATCTTTAGAACACTAAACTCTCTTAGAATTAACTTTATATTTTCTATTACACAGTCTGTGGATGACAACATTTATACCAACATACTTTACATCCCCGGAACTATGTTGATGTCCCCTGTCAAAACTGCTCTTGTGAATCAAATTCAGGAGAAATGCTGTGACACCACACCACGTTCCTAATTTTCCTTCCTCCTATACTGCACCTCTCCAAAGATGTCCCCATTAAATAAAAAACTGACAGGAGGCTTTGCTGGTGGAGTTACACAGATTTAAATTGATCTCTTCTCCTGAACTAAGTATTTGAAATTCCCCTGCAGGAATATTAGAGCAACAGGCTTTGCTTCATCTGGTCTTTGAAAATGCAAAATCCTGGGCCTGCTTACAGCTACCAGAGACCAGCAGACTGAAGCTCTACGGTTTAGAACAGGTGTTTTCAGTCTTGAATTCTTGGCCTCTGGGAACTTATCTGTGGTTAAAGCTTTGCATTTAAATTTGCATAAAAATGGTTCAATCCCATTCAGAAAGAGGCTATGGGGACACAAGGAAAAACAATGGGGAAGAGAGAATTTAGCTTGCTCCTGAGAGCCATTTTAATAATATAAATGTCTATCAGGAGTATTTTCAATTCTGTTTCAGCTCAGTTTGATTCTTCCTATCTTTAAGCAGACAGAAATCACTTACAGCAAATGACTATGGATGTGATACCATGAGATATCTACTTTTCCCAATAAATAAGCT